CAAGTGTCAGTGCTATACAAATTCAGAAATGCAAAGAGATAGATACAGCCCAACTTTGAACTTCATCTGAATTGATGATCCCAAACTACTGCAGTATTTATGAAGTGCTATCAGTCTGCAAGGAGCAGTTGCAAACGCAAGAGCCGAAGCTGTATTTTGTTGTTTTGCAACAATGTCAATTTATCAGCCAGAATCACTCCCTGTGGAAAATGAGTAACTGCACTGATAATACAGAGCTTGAGGGTAGACTTCTAATCCCTTCTTCAGTATAAATCCTTCTTTGAAAAATCATCTTCCTTGCATCAGCTAAGATGGGTGAAGAGCATCTTGTCTATGAAGGTGTTCCATCAAATACATCATCTCCGAAAACGCCTTGTACTTCACACACCATAGAAAATACTAACTGCAACTACAGAAAGCTACTTCTGTGGAATGTACTGCATTTTCTATTTTGCACTGTATCCAGTAAGTTGAAAACAGCTGAAATAAATTGACTGAAAGAGAAAACTGAATGAGAAGAATGAATGCTTCAATACAGGCTAACAAGAAAATAAAAAGAATAACTATTTTCTTTTTACATATATGTAGGTCCCAGTACCTGATTTCAAATTCAGAATTGCCCCATCTAAACTCCCTCTTCCAAACAGGGCTTGCTAAAATAAAGCTGTCTTCAAGAAGTCTAATGCAAGTTCATGTAACAACCAATCCACCCTTTCATTGATCAATGACTGCACAATCTCATCTAAAACACCTCAAAGTGCTGAGAATTCTTGCTGGTTGTTCATTCTCAAGAGGATGGAAAATTGCAAGTACCCTGTAATCAAATAAAATAGGAAATTTGCTAACCAAAAGCACAGGTGCTTTTGAAGCTGTGGCACCTTGCAATACTCCTGGTACAAATGAACACAACTGGTTGCACTTATGTACTTCAAGGAAATGATGCAATATACTACAATTTCACTGCCCTGCTGTTTATCACAACAACGGGCATGCTTTTCAGATGCAAATTATGTCCAAATCACTTCACTAATTGCAATGTAAAAGGCATCTAAACACTCCTGGATTAGCTAGCTCAAATTCACACACCCACACGGTTCAGCAATCTACAAATCCCACTGCAGTGGTTCACCTACCCTGAACTCCACAATGCCATAACTGTACTTCTACAAATACAGCATTATGTATTTATATATATATACATATGCACATTATAAATACCAATACACTTTACTAGTACTGCTCTTTTATTATAATCCTCCTATAAAGAGAGTTCCTAATACACATCTATGCCAGACTGCTGTTACACTAATAAAGACATAATCTAAAACTAGCTGCTCATCTGTGACAGAGGCATATATTACTTGCTTTTACAAAATGATAAACTAAATCACAATGAAATTAAGTGACTTCCCACATTCACATAATGGATGACAGAGCAATAAATTGAACATGTAAGCCCTGACTTTCAAACCATTAGTTATCATTTGCGCAACACACATCTCCATAGCATAGTAGTCTGTAGCAATCAATCCGAGGAGTTTTAACTGCCCTGTGACCCTTTCACTGCTTATGCCAACTTCTATAACCTTAGTGAAAAAGATGAAACATTGTCCCTTTCCACTGAAATTATGTTTGCAACATGTAATTGAATATTTCTGGCAAAAATACAGCACTAATTCTTTATTGCCTAACTGCCTCGTGGTCCTACCACCCTCATGCAGATGAAGCGCAGTACCCGTGCCTTACTCTGCTGCTGCTGAGTCTAGCTGCTTCCAGCATGACAATGCAGAGCTCCTGGGATGTCAGAATGTCAGAACCTTACTCCTCACTAAAATTTTAATCTACCTTTCTGTCTCTTCACATTCTTTGCCACCAGCCACAGTGATGTTAAAAAATAGTAGGAGATCTGATGCAACACAAGTGGGTAGCAGCAGTATCTCGACTCCACAATCTTTCTACAGCTTGACAACCAATGGGGAAAATACAAATTAGCTTCTCTTTCTTGTGCCTCTTCATAGATAGAGAACAGCAGAAATTAGTTCCACTACAGTCCCAGTCAGCACACTATGCTATTATTCCAGCTGAAAACAGTAACTGAAATAATGGAAAAGTCTTTTCATGGTAAAATTTATATAGGTTAGGAGAAAACTGTGGATTCACTAGCATTAATATCATCCTTTAAAAGCTTTAGAAATCACTGTGTCACTAAAGGAAAACTGTAATGAAACAGAGTTTAGAACCCTCCATGATATACCTATTACTACTTTTTCAAGGGTATATAGACATGCCAAATTCTTCAAAGTACTTCAGACTATGTGCTCTCCAGGAACCTCTAAACCCCCATAAATCCACCATTACCACAATATGAGCAGTGCTTTCACAGTTGCTACACAGAAAGTTAAGAGATGAAGAGCGGAGGCTGAAATTTGCAGGGGGAGGAAAAAAAAATAAGTTAGAGAAGTAGGAACATAATAATTTAGTTCAGAATATGAAGACATGTTCAACTATACAGAAATGCTCCAAGATGCAAAGAGGAAATCCTGTACTCTGAGGAAGTCAGATGTGTATCTTCACAGGAACCAAACGGCTGACTGGTCCAGATGCTTTCGAAAACCCAAGGTGGTGTCCATCACCACCTACAGGCCCCTAAGTGTTTCTGAAATGTGCTTGGCCAGCACAGCTCAGACCAATTTTTCTCTCATACGCAGACAGAGCCACAGGCATTCAGGGTTAAAAGCACTACTATATCTTCAGTAATAACACAGGACCACAGTATCCCGCTTACAACTTGTTTGATACTTCAGATGGCAGAGTGCTGACTTCTGCCACATTGGTGTCAGCAGTTCAAAGACCGACATGAAGAAACGCTTTTCCAAATCAAAGTAATATTCTTATTGTACCCAGGTTTTCTTTGTAATTGCAGTACTGTGGCATGAATTGACACAGGTAATAATGCAGTCTTGAGGAAGCTGCAAAGAGTATAAGCAACCAGGAACATTTCAGTTCTGACAACTGGATGCAATACTTGCACCCTGAAAGTCCAGAGCTGCTTGGTGAGGTGGACCTGTTTGTTCATGCAATCTCACCCCTAAAAAGCCTAGGTGTGCTTGCAGAAATGAGGATGAAGCTCCAGGTGATGAATACACATATCACAATGCCCGATTGCAAACGCAAAATTGCAGTCTTGTAACATTGGCATGGGAAGAACAGCTCACTCTCCTTGTGTGGACACTTTGCAACTACAGGGTTTGATTTTGGTATCAAAGGTATCCAAAGCCAGAGCCTCCAGGTTAGTTATCCACATTCTTGAAAAGCTAGAGACTGATATTGCCATCATGGACAGAAAAAAATCCAAACAGTTGCCTCGCAACACCCTTGTATTCCCATTAGGAAGCCTGAGCCATGGCACTGCAAGGTTCAGAAGTTTCACCACAGACTAGCACAGCATCCTAACATACTGTGTTAGGATGACACACTGCAGCTATTTTGTCTTCCTACTACTCCACGTACAGCAGCTCCTTTTCTTTCCCTGCCATCTGCTAGTTTGCTGCAGTCTGCTGGGACAGGACTGCTTTCTCCTTTCCTCCCCTTCCTGATTGCTTGAAGGGACAACAGATCTAGCATTTCCAGTCCATACACTCAGCTTTCCTCCAGCTGCCTCAGAAACCATTAACCAATGCAGAGTTACTCCCATGAATGAACAGTGCACTGCTCAACTCTGCTGTACCAGTGAGCTCCACCAGAATTACATGTTAGACACTGAAACGCCTTGTAAGTGGTGAGCAAGGAGGCAACTGCTGCTTTAAGAGGACACACCATTCCCTCTTATCCTCAGGTGTCATCATATCTGCACTACCTGCACCACAATACCCATCAGTAACTAAGGCAAGCAGTATCCACAATAACTATATGCAGCTCCTTATCATGAGTTTTCTTTGAAGGGAAAGGTAGTAAGAAGAAATCAGTAAGCAACATGTAAGCAAACAGCAATCTTCAAACATTCAATAATATAAGCTTCTGTATGACTTGTGTAGTAAATAACCATTTCTCCTTCTGACCACTACTAGTTCAAAATGGAAAAAATAAGATCTAAACTCTGCCACACTTACAGCCAGATAGGAAAGAAACTGGAATGTTTGCAGTTAATTATTCTATTAGTCAGGTTGTTAGAAAAAGAAAGCGCTCATCTAAAAATAAAGTCAATATTGGCCAAGTCTAAACAGTTTCTTCAGTTTTTAACACATACATCCAAGCAATGAACACTATTATTCTGCGCTTGTAACCATATGTCCCTAAGTCAATAACTGCTCCTCAACATCTGACCTCTTTTTAAAGCAGATTTACAAGGAAGCATAGTGAAAGTGTTCCCAGTTAACTGGTGAGAAAGTATTACAGATTGTAACCACACAGCAAACAATTGTTCTGATTGGCAAGATGAGGATAAATCTGCCATTAAAAAAAATAAATAAAAGGAAGAAAGAAATAGATAATAGCAAATATACATAACCTTTCACTTCAAAATAAACCAAAATCAACCTCAGAGAATATTTATGATGATATCAAATGCCTTAAATCCCCACAGCTTTGAACTACAGTTAATCTCTTTCACTATGTTCTTCAGCAAGCAATTACAAATAACACCGTACCTTTACAAAGTGCTTTTTACACTCACAGCTCTCAAAGCACTTCCCACAGAAACACACAAACACAAATGAAATGTAGCTTACTTTGGGGGTGAGAAGCCACCAATATACAGCATAACACGCCAACACAGAGGTGAGGTTTACAGTATGTCTTTATTTATCAAACAGATTTTCCTGCTTTCCAATCCCTACATACAAGCAGTCAGCAAATAAGAAAACAATCAAGAGCAATCATGCATATCTGTAATTTCAGGGAAGTGCCAGGAAGTGTCACACTGCTCTGTAGCACACAAGCAATGACTAGGACACTGTTCTTGCAAGCCTGTTGTGGGTCAGCTGAAGCAAGCCCCGACTCACCTAGACTGTCCTAGCGAGGACTTCATCCAGCAGCAAGAGCAGCACCAGGGCAGACAGGATGACAAGACCAAAGCCACAGGCACAATCAGCTCCTTGGAGCGGCAGCCCTCACTGCTATTATGTCTGCACCGCACAAGCAGCAGTGTGTCGTTATCTATGCAAAAATCTGCATCTTCCACAGAAAAAAAAACATACTCGAAGCTCCTTCCTGCCCCAGAACCTATTTCACTATTTATGCCATCGCAGCTAGTGACTAAGAAAATGCTTTTAGTGTCACAGGAGATTAAGGACCTGGGAGGAGAGCGCCTGGCAGCTTTACTCTCACACACTGATCAGCCTTCATGCAAACGCACTTTGTCGGCAGATGAAAGTGCATTATTGCCACACACTACCGAAGAGAAACAATTTCCAAGTTTTCCCACAGCGCTCGCTCCCCCTCGTCCTTCTCCGAGGAGTCCCCCTGAAGAGATCTGCAGCTTCTGGGCACCACAGCTTGCCCCGTGTCCCCACCGAGCACCGGCTCTCCGGGCACAACCGTCGTACCTGCGGGACACCACGGACCCCGGCCGAGCCCGAGGATGGCGAGCACCCCGCGCCTCCCGGACGGAGCCGAAACCCCCCAGCTCTAGGGGCCGGGTCCCCCTTCCCAGAGCCCCACAGGAGGGCAAGCCGTGGGGCGCTCGGGGTGGGGAAACACGCACGGCACGGGCCAGTGCCCACAGACACACAGGTGACACACACATGTAACACACGTGTAACACACACACCGCCTCGCACCTGTCCGCTACCACCAACTCGGAGCAAACTCCCCTCTCCGGCCGTGAGGACCGGGGCGCGGGGCTCCGCTCTACGCGACGGGACGGGTACCGCGCTGTGCGGACAGGGCAGGACAGGGTAGGGTAGGGTAAGGCAGGGCAGAGCCAAGCGGCAGCCGAACAGATACGGATGAAGAGGCAAACATCTGCGAAGAGGGCAGCCCCTGCCCCAGCCCACTCCCATTACCTTAGCAACCGCTCCGCCGCCTCCGCCGTCCACGGCCGCCCCCCGCCTCGCCTCTCCTCTCCTCTCCTCTCTTCAGGGACGGGGAGGGGCCCGCACCATGGCGTGAGGCTGCGGGCGGGGCCGCCGCGCCACGGGCTCTTCCCAAATGCGCTCGCCCCTCGGCGCCCCGTAGCCTGTGGCGGGGACTGCGGAGGCCCGCGGGCACCGCTCCTCGACCAGCCCCGCGCTCCGCCAAGCCCTCACCCGGCGGGGGCGGTGACACCCCCGGCCCCGCCGCCGCAGCAGCAGCGCCCGCTGCGGGCAGCCGGGGCACGGCTCCGCCGCCCGGCACCGTACGGCGCGCCCAGGGAGCAGCTTCCCCCGCGCTGGAGCGCATCGCCCTTCGCGGTGATGCGGAGAAGCTCCAGCATCCCCCATCCAGCCGCCTCGGCTGCTCCTGGGGGACTTGGCGTAGCTCTGAAGGAAGGGAAGGAGCCGAACGCAGGCCTTAGATCTGTCTTGCACTCTTATTTATGTGTTTTAGTGTATCACACGATTAAAGCGTTAGGCAAAATTCTTCCATGTGTAGCAGTGGAAGCCTTTATGTCCGGGTAATGCTCCTCCAACACCCAGGATTTCCCAGCTGAAGTATAGGGTTACAAGGAGCCCAGGACTCAGCACACCATAATCAATCACAACAGGCACCATAGTTTCCACAAAATCATTTGGAGACCCAGCTCCTTAAGCAGACCTGTGACACGGGCAAAAGCCATTGCTGTTGGTGAGAAGTTTCCATCCGATACTTAGGTGTGCAAAGTAGCTTGCAAACTTCCCACAGATATTCTCTACCAATTTCTCTGTTGGATGGGATAAGATTTTCACTGTTTCCTCTACCCCCCAGAAAGCAAGTTAAGCCCATCTTGCCCAAAATCGACCTCCAAGTCAAAGTACTGGAAAGCGCTAAGCCAGACCCTTCACAGCAGGTGTCTGTGCCCATCTCTGTGCCCAAATTTTCTGCATTTCCAAGGTTTGGTTTCTACACATTGGAATTACTGGAGTTGAAACTCTTCACAGTGAGGCTCAGCTGCACAGAGGAAAGACTCCTTTACCAATATGCATACCCTGTCTTAAAAGCACTTTTGTGGTGCCCCTATTCCCTCTTTGCCTAACACTTTGGATGTTATCAAAGCCAGGCTTATATTTGATCAGCCTGCTGACTGACACCAAAAGCCACCTCGTGCTGGGATGTCCTGTTACATTATGGCTACCGTGTGCCTAGCACATTGACTTTCTGGTGATGTCTGATACACAAAACCACTGCAACAATTCGAGTCACAAATTCTGAAGAAACTCAGCATCACTTCCATTTCTACTGGATCTGTGTCAATCTTCATCTTTACCGTTCTCAACTACTCCTCCCGTAGTCTTGCAAATGCCAAATTCCAGCCTGCACAGTTTGCCAATGCTCACCTCCTCTAAAAGGCCCTTAATCGTCACAGACTATGCATTTATGTTCTTGTCACACTCAAAACTGCAGTGGCAAAATTCTGCAGTTGTGCCTCGCATTAGCTCATTGGCCCTTACTGGACTTCGTGGGGTGTTGATTCAATTGATTTGGTTCAGATTTCAGCTGTGGGCATTTAAAACCTTCTGTGGCAAGTTAAAATGTTCTGGCCTTGGTGGACCTTCCCTGATTTTTTTATTCAAAGCGATTGCGTTTCTGAAACATCACAGGATATTTTTGGGAGATTTTTTTTGAAAAAAATTAATCGAAAAATATTTCTATTTATATCAAGTTGGAATTTAAACTACTTGTCATTCCCTTCAGATAAACCCAAGCATGTTACACAATATCTGCCACACAAAGTTTTCTGGCAAAGGGGAGAAGGTGAGAGTGGCTACCTATGAGACAGATTTTTTTTTTCCAGAGATTTTCCTCATCCAAGCATTTCAAACCAGTTGTTATGTCAACTTATGCTGGGGTATGACTCCATGTAACCTCAAGGATGAAATATTTCAGTATCTTACATCAGGAAAAAAAGTTTCACTTCTGTTCTACACAGTCTGTTCTTCCAACTCCCCTAAAGGATTATACATGCAGCAGTTAACAGGTCTAAGTACTTAAATTTAGGGGTTAACTCAGACTAAAATGCAAGTTCTATAGAAATGCCATTTTCAAAATACAGGATTGATAAAACATATTTCACATGTGTATTAACATGGCAATTCAAAGAAGTTACAAATACGTTTCTCAGCAGGATTGCCAGGCTGAGTAGTATTGTACTACAGCACCATGTGATGCTGAGAAAGGAAACTGAATGGAGACACCACAGAAGTGACTACTGAGTGTTTTTTAATCATGCTCAACAGAAGAAATTGGAACCAAAATGTACAAATAAAAGGAAAGACAAATGATAAATAACAAAAATGATGTTTCAGGTTTGGATAATATTTCATGTCTTATTTCCATGTTTTATACTATAATTAAATGAATCTGTCTAGTGGGTTCTCTCAAGCAGCAACTATCCTTCAATCCTTTGAAGCAATAACTGCTGTAAAGAAAAATGGCATAGCAACATGCATTAACTACTAAAATAAATGGTACATAGTTAAAATCAAAAGCAAGGTTTGTATTTGCATTTATCCTTCTGCTGAAAACAGTGTAGTCAGACTTGGCTCATTGCAGAGATAATTTCTCAGTTTAAGCTCCTTCCCAGTGGGAGAGTCCAGTGGTTTGATGAATGTGACTAGGGATGTAGGAACAGATCCATGCAGATCAGTGGGACACCTCAAGTTGGTGTAGAAATATGCACGTACAGAAATGTTTGCAGAAAAAGACCTTCCATTGGAAAGGCTTTGTTATGCTCAGCAAGAACTGAGGAAGAATGCATAGGAATGGACTGCTATGCATTTTTGCAGCCAGGAGGACAGAGAGGTTTCTTCCCCTCTCTGCTGTACTTTATGATGAGATTTTAAAACCAGAAGAGACCACCATGCTCCACACCAGGTACAGAACATCACTTGTCAGTAATGATACACCATTAAAACTGAAAGAAGCCAAGCTCAATTTTCATTTTCACTAACATTTACACTGAAAATTTTTGTTCAGCTTTACTTTATCATGGAGACTTATTTTAATGACCAAACAACACATTTTATAAAGTTATCCTACCTTCTACTGAAGACTACAGCAATAGAAAACTTTCCTCACACGTGGTAATAATCTCCTAAAGTTGTATTATGCTCATTGCTGTAAAGGGGTCATTTTATTCACCTTTGAACAGTACAACTTCCAATGACTGCATATATTGGCTATGACACTAGAGTAACACATGCTCACGGGGCCTGTGCTAGCTCTTACAGCTCAACAGTGAAAGTCTCCATGGTACTTCAAGAGCTTCTTCACATGGTAATGAGAGTTACAGCACAGCATGTTCCCCTGTGATTGTCTGACAAAAGGAGGAGTAGATAGGGCTAACTTTCTGGCAGTAGCATCCTCCTCTCCTGGTACTTGAAGAAAACATTGAAAAGCAAAAGCCAGTACAGCTGCAGTGGTTGAGGTGCTCCAAGGTAGGGCCAGTGCTTCCCTTTCACTTTGCAAACCAACAGCATTGACGATTTGATGAATAAGTGTTACCCCGTGGCACTTACTCCATAAATATTCAATAGCTGTTAATTACAAGTAAAAAATGGAGCTGCTGGCTCAGGGGTGGCTGCTGAGACGTCACTTAACCGGTGCTTTCTCCCATGAAAGCAGTAAAGCGGAATAAGTGCCTCTCTCTGGCTGAGTGCATGAAAAAAAGTAAAGAGGTTTTCAGAGTTGTTCAAGGTAGGTTCTACGTTTCATAAAATGTTTAATTTAACAGTGACCTAGTTTTAAAGCAGCTTTCAGTGTCTTGGCTTTTCTTATCCCCTGTGTCTTAGCCTATGTCATTAGAACAACAGAGTGATAGGCTTTACAGACTTTGTTAAAGCAAACTAAGACATTAGCTGGTGGATTAATTCTTCTCTCCTATCTTGTTTCAGGCAATTGTTATGGCACAATTTCTTTGTAGTTTTAAGGAGGTTTTATCACATCCTTTATGACACATATTGTAGATTTTTCAAAAAATGTCTGCTCAAAGCCTTTTGCTTATTTCATGCTATGTTTTTGAGTACCAGGCTGTAGCAGCACTCTTGAATTCCTCAGCCTTTTTACAGCAGAATCCTTTGCTTTGTAAACATTCAATTAGCTGTATGTATTTAGTGGCTAGATTGACTAGCAAATTTGGAAGTTTGCAAGCAGTACAGACTCATGCTAGCATTC